TTTTTTTTTTAGGCTACCGAGTCAGATTCAGTTTTCGTACCACCAGATTTTAATTCCCGTTCTCTAAAGAACCCACGTTCAGTTTTGCATTCGCGAATAGTCACTGTCTCTAAATTTACTGTAACATCGGTGATCACCACTTTGTCGGATATATTACATTTGCTAGGCAACCAAAAGCGAGGTGGCAGCGCTTTCGGTGAAAGTGGCTCCAGCGCACTTTGACGCTGATGCTCGTCGGTAGTGTGACCGTTGCGCTTTGGCGAATAGGTACCGTCGTCACCCGTTGCCTTGCTTTGCGCTGCCGAATTGACATTCTCCGTTTGGCTATCTGCTTGTGATGATGAATCATCATCATCCGCTGCTGAAGCATTATAATGATGCTGCAATGCTGCGTTTTTCTCTGCGGGTGTGGCTTGTTCTGGTCGCGAAGCAGGTGTCTCTGGGGAAAGCGGTTCAGTTTCCGATTTTAACGGAGTTGATATCGAGGTGGCTGTGTCTACACTGACAGCATTCGCACAATGTTGTTTAGGCGGCGGTGGACCATCGGGTGATGTTTTTATAGTGACTCCTATTTTACCCGACTCCTTTAACACTTCTGCTTTGCGTTTAGTGCCCATAGGGGTTACTTCTTTTCGGCTAAGCGGCTGGTCCTCCGAACTGGATGAATTTGAATCAGCTTCAGGAATGAAATTCAATGCAGAATTAGAAGCAGCTGCGGCTGCCACAACTGCAGCAGACATCGATGCCGATGTGGAGGTATAAGTATGACGCTTATGTCCGCCATTTTCTCGATGCGAGTCTGTGTGTGGTGAGCGAGAGCGATTCCGTTCAGATTTCGCTGAGTGATGATGATGGTGATGATTGTGATCCCGTTTCTTTTCTTTTTCCTTCTCTTTTTCATAATGATAAGAGTGATGGTGATGACTGCTGCTTGTTAATGCAGATGCCGCGGCTGACGTGGAAGCTTGATTTGTATCCACATCGTCACCGGTGAAAGTGTACTCATCTTCCTCAGATTCAGGTTCGGGGTCCTGCGCTTTTTCTTTGCGTTTACTACCTCGTTTTGATGGAGTATTTGATGATCGGTTGCTCTGTTCGTAAATTTCTATAAGACGTCGATCGAGAATGTTCACTTCTGGCTCCCACGTATTATATCGTTGATTCCAACCCTTCCATTTTACACGATACTCCAGAACACCCTGCAAAAGAAAAAAATACCACATATGTA